TGAAACTTGTGGAGAAAGTGATGGGCTCTTTGCAAACCCCGGATTCTGAGGCCTGGGTTTGTCCCAGTCAGCCCCAAGTGCTTTAATCAAGGACTATGTGGCTGCAGGAGATGGAGGGAGAGAGAGGCACATCCAGAGGGCAGTTGAACTTGTTCTGAGTTTGGGGACCTGGAGAGGGCCCCAAAGGCATAGGTTTGTCTCCCCAGAAATGGGAGGATGAGTGGGGCTGCTAGATCTGGTGGGCATTTGCCCAGCACTGTGGACAGGACTGTACTATCATAATGATGTGCCAGGTCCCAGCTTGACTATCTAACCCCCCCCAAACCAATCCTTCTGGGATTTCTGCATCACTAAGCCCATCTGGCAGGTGTCCTGCCAAGAAGAAGGGTAGGAGAGATTTGACTGTGGCCTAATTAGAGAGGCCATAAGGCCATAAAAAGTCTGAAGGACTTTCTGATGGCTGGTACTGGGAGCCTGCCTGGCTTCTCTGTTGCTTCATTCTCTAAGCACCACTAACTACTGAGCCCCCTCAGAGCTGCTTCTGCAGATGGCACCCTTCAGGTACCCCAGCTCCAGCTCAGAGTCTGGACTCCCCTGAAATGCCTCTTTTATTCAGGGTTTCAAAAACTTCTGGAAAGCTTCACTTTGGAGGCTCCAAAGCAATGGACTATGCTTGAAGCAATAATATTGTCATTAATTTTGCCCAGTGTCCTTAAAAAATCTCTTTCCATGAGAGTCTAATTTCATAAGAATATGAAATTTCAAAATATTTTGTCATAGAGGGGGAACCTTGATAAACCTTGTCTACCTGGGCTTTGAGTTTTTTTTATATTCCCTGCTCCTGGCCTGGTTGTGACTTTGTGTCTATAGCTAAGCCAGGGCTTTATGGAATCATTACTAAAAAAAATCCTGCTACTTTTAGTATATGCTAAGGAGCTAACTCCTCCAGTGAACTTGAGAGCTGCTTGCCTTGAGAACTGTAAATTAGTAAAACAGAGGGCTGTAGTATGGAAAAGGAACAGAACTGCACAGAATTACACCCATTGTCCAGAACCCCAAAAACCACAAAGTGATGTGCTGGCAGATGCCTCAAAAGTATCTGTTATTAGGTCAGACAAGTTGAAACAGCAGCTGGGAGGGCTCTGTTCACTGTCTCTCCTGTGATGGAGTGGGACATGTGCCTGAAGGATAGCAGGGGCAGAAGCTCTCTGCTCCTGGGGGTAAAAAATTTATGAAGGACTACTGGACACTGAGAATGAAAGTGTTTTCTGTTGTGTCAGAAAGGGTCTCATCAGCGTTCAAGCCTGGCCATTTGCACACCTGGCACCATTTGCAGAGATTCATATATCACTCCTCAAACTCTCCTTCTTCTGAAATAATAATTTCTGGCATTTCTTTGCCTATCACCAGTACTAAATTTCCTGCCCACATGGTCTGGAGGGGCTTGTTTACTGCAAGGCACACCAGTCTTCTACTGCTCCATCATGACTGGAATTTTTATGACCTTGTTCTCTTCTTTCCTGAAGGATTAAGTGTGCTAACTCCCAGAATGAAGTGATTTCCTTAAGTGAGGCTTTACCCATAGGGATGCATTTCATGCAAATCTATGTCAGGTTTTAAGTGTACTTTGGGGAGGGTCATTTGACTTAGATGGATGTTTTATTTTACCAGCAGAGATTAAGGCATGCAACAGCCTAAGATCTGAACCCCACAAGATGACTCTGCCTGGCTTACCCTGAACACAGGATGCTCATCTTAGTCTGCTAGTGTTGCATCTCTGCTGAGAAAAGCAAACAAGGCAGGTGTAAACTGAAAGACCTACGGCCTTCCTGGTGCCCAAGGACAAGCTCTGCTGGGAAGCACCTGTTTAATATCTGTCTGACTTTCTGGCAGAGACAAGAACTCCTTCAATTTGTTACAGAGTAGTAAAATTTCCAGGTGCAAATAAGGGGCAATGTCCCCCCCACCCACTCTCTTTTAAAAGGTTAGCAAAAGAATAATTGAGATGGCTTCTAATTAGAATAATTAAATTCTAATTAGATTAATTAAAACTCCCTCTATGAAAAGGTGGCCTGTCTAGTGGGTAAGGGACAGGTTGAGTATGTTGTCTAACTAGACCTTAGAAAAGCCTTTGGCACTGTTTTCCACAACATTGACCTGGAGGACCTGGCTGCTCATGGCTGGGAAGCGTGAACTGTTTGCTCGGTAAAAAACCAGATGGATGGCCAGGCCCAGAGGGTGAGGGTGGATGGAGTTGCATCCATCTGTTGTCTGGTCACCTGTGATGTTCCCCAGGGCTCAGTACTGGGTCCAGTCCTGTTTAATGCCTTTATCAATGATCTGGACAAGAGGACAGAGAGGCTAGAAAGGTGCCTGGAAGAAAAGGACCTAGGGGAGAACATGAGCCCATGTGTGCCCAGGTGGCCAAGAAGGCCAATGGCATCTGGGCCTGTGTCAGCAATAGTGGGGCCAGCAGGATGAGGGCAGTCATTGTCCCCCTGCATTCAGCACTGATGAGGCCACACCTCAAATCCTGTGTTCATTTTGGGCTTCTTGATGCAAGAAGGACATTGTGGGGCTGGAGCATGTCCAGAGAAGAGCAATGGAGCTGGTGAAGGGTCTGGAGCACAAGTCTGATGAGGACCTGCTGTGGGTGGTTAGCCTGGAGAAAAGAAGACTGAGGAAGGACCTCATCAGTCTCTACAACTACTTGAAGGTAGTGAGGTATGTATTGGTCTCTTCTCCCAGGTAGCATGAAATAGACAAGTCCAGCAAATCTTGGACTTCAATAGTCCAAGACTTGAGACCACACAAAACTTAAGTGGTCCCAAGTTGTGCTGAGGGAGGTTTAGATTGGATAGTAGGAAAACTTTCTTCATCAAAGTGAGTGTCATGCATTGGCACAGGCTGCCCAGAGAAATGGTGGAGCCACAGATCCCTGGGAGTGTTCAAAAAATATGTGGATGTGATGCTTAGGGACATGGTTTAGTGGTGGACTTAGTGGCACTGGGTAATGGGTGGACACAACAGTCTTAGAAATCTTTCCCAATGACAACAATTCTATGATTCTGTGATTTTCCTGTACAGGCAGAAGAAGCCAGCCAGTAGAGAATTTATTCTTCAAGTCTGGTGCAAATGCTCCATGCTTTAAAGACTTTTCTCAAATGTGAAATGAAATAATGGACAATAAAAAGTAAATTGTGCTTTTGGTTTAGCACAAAAGAATAAAGTGGCCTTTATGGTTGCCAGCTTATAAAAGTTTGGTTGGGCGAAGTAAACCCTGTGTGTAAGGGCAGTGTTGTATTTCCAATAAAATCTATTTTAGTTTTTGAGGACTGGTGTGATGCATAAATAAAATTTTCATTTTGTGACCCTCTACATGCCAGAAAGCCTAATTCTTGGCAGGTTGGGAAGGAAAAAGAAGTCAAAGTTTAAGCCTCTTCAGTGGTCAGGAGACACAATGTTCGCATTCCCACTTCCTCCCAGCAATGTCCCCAACTGGGCCAGCCCAGATGTCATCTATGTGACTCAAGTATATTGTGCTGGCAAATGGGTTTGATGTGAACTTGCTGCCAGCCTGTTCTTGCCCTCAGTCTCTTGATGGCAGTGGGTGGGGGCATTCTGCCAACCTGTGCTTGAGGAACAGCCAGCCCACAGCTGCAGAGTGTGGCCACGGAGAGCATCATAAAAATGGAAGGGAAATCACTGCCACAGGGAAGCAGGGCCCTGTTTGTATGAACCCTCTGTCCTGCTGAAGTTCAGTCCTTAGGATATGCCTTTGGGTTCCTCCACAGTAAGTTTTAATACAAACGTGCAGTTACAATGCTAAGCTAAACTCCTGTGTGGGAGAGCTGGAGCTATGAGAGGTTCTGTCTGTCACAGCTTTACTGAGACACCACAGGCAGCCACCCTGCCCTCACTTCTCCAAAACACCATTCATCACACACAAACCTTTTGCAGAAGATGCTATTATTGTAAACACAAAAATGTACCCTGTTTTTAGGATTCAGTGACGCTGGCTGCTTTTTACTGCTCTGTTTCACATTGCATTGTAAAATAAAAACTTCCTAAGACTTTAAAATGTGAGCTGAGCACCTGCCTCATGTCTGTGTGCCCCAGCATTTAGAGTGGGACAGATGTCCCAGGAAAAGCTGAATTGCTACGTCAGAGTGTTGAGCCCCTCTGGCTTACCTTGTCTTCATGGCCTTTCAGCATTGAGCTTTTTTGAGCTCTTACACTTGTTGCATATTCATTTGCAGTAATTAAGAACCCCTTGAAATAGTGTACCTTTACAACAATAATGCATACAGGGTGTATGGCCAAAGTGCAAATAGCTTCAGAGGAGGTTAAATCACAATTTTTCCAATATTAATATTAATGAGGCTGACCATTTGCATTTGCAGTAAATCCTCTTGTAGCATCAATGTCCTTTGGGGATTTTTCTGCAGATAAATGAAGCATTCCCCTCCTTCCCTCACTACATCTGCTAACAGTGTCACTCAGTGCAGCAATAGATCAACAGATCCTGCTAATCTGTGAAAAGGCAGAGCTTAGAACAAGTGCTTTTTGACATAATTAAAGCTACACTGCCTACCACTATTCCTGGAAGAAGTAGTAGCAGAGTTTCATTAGAACAAGTAAATACAAATAGAGTTCAGTCTGAGCAGTTGTCTTTGTTACAAACAAAGCCCATTAGTTAGCAAGGAGAATTTGAAGCAGGGCTGAATTCACGCTGATCTCAAAGCCCTTCTCATATTTAATTTATAAACTGATGATTAATTCAGTGATTAGCTAATTCACTTGCAGTGATTAATTTAATTCATGTCTTCAGGCTAATGTTTAAGAAAGAAAAAAACCCTAGCTCTGATAGATGCACATCAATGTCCTTGTGATTAAAAAATGATAATATAATGCCCTGGAGAAAAAAGGAGAAAAGAAAGATCAAGTGAATCGGTAGCATGATCTGTTGTAAGTTCTTGCCTAAGCTGTAGCCGTAATTTTTAGCTGTGATGTTTAAATGTGTCAGTTACTCTAATGATCAATGGTTTGAAAGCTGAATCTAAGGATCCTTCACTGTAGCTCTCCACTGTGTATTTTGAGAATGGTGTTGCTTTAGAGCAGTCCTCCAGCTCTGCCTTTTTCTCACTGGTTTTGCCAGCTGCCTGCCCACTCCCCTCCCTTTCAGCAGCACCTCTCTCATGCCTCACCGAAGTCTTTGACGAGAGTGCTTTGTACTTCTTAAATCCAGGCTGCTTTTCTCTGTTTCCAGCAGGATTTATTTTATCTTTTGATGCAACATGTGATGATGAGAATGATTTGGGGGATTTCTCTGTATTAGACAAACTGGTCTCTTTTGGGACAGCACTGCTTTTACAGTTTATGCCATTGCTTGGTGATGGAGCTTGATAGCTTCTGAAATCACCCAGAGGGTCCTCCTCTCCTGAGCCATCATTGCTGTGCCTCTCTGACTGAGCTGAAGAGCCTAGCTGGTATTTCTCTCTTCTCTCAGGTTCACTCTTCTTTTCTCCACTACCAGTTTTACACGTTGGTTTTGCATCATGTGGTGGTGGCAAATGCTTCTTTTTGACTGTGGCATTATTCTCTTCAGACTTCACGGGCAAATCTGAGTGTGGGGACTGGCACATCCCAGAAGCTGGATCTTTGCTTTTATCTTTCACAGCATTTGCATCAGGCTTTGTAAAACTTTCAGATACAGCTTCTGTTTTTTCTCCTCCTGGAATATTTTTCTCAGGCTTCAATAATTTACTTGAAGGAGGTAACGGATGGTCACCAGAAGCTTGGTATTCATCTTTCTCTTTCTCTTTTACATCCTTTTCTTCAGGTGACGTGCTGTCCTCTCCTGCTGGTGTCTTCTGCTTCCTCTCTCCTGAAGCACTTTTTTCTTGAGGCTTCAGTACTTCATTTGAAGAAGGCAGCTTCTCAGTATTTGGATCTTCATCCTTTTCTTTTACAGAATTAGTACCAGGCTTCCTAAAACCTGAAGATTCTGATGTTTTTTGCTTTTGTTCTGCAGTAATTTTTTCTTGAGGCTTAGCCAATGTTTTTGGTGGTACTGATGAACACTTCCTGGAACTTGGAAGTTCATCTTTCTCTTTTGCAGTATTTGTATCAGGTGTCAGAAAATCTTCAAATCTCATTTGCTGTTTGAGTGCTGGATTATTTTCCTCACGCATTTCTGATTTTCTTGGTGGAGGTAGCTGGTGCTTCCCAGAAAACTGGTGCTTCCCAGAAAACTGCTGCTCAATATCCTCTTTTACAACCTCTGTTTCAGGTGATCCAGTGTCTTCTGCCACTGGTGTCTCTTGCTTCCTCTCTCCTGAAGAGCTTCTGTCTTGAGAATCTGGCACTTTCTTTGAAGAAGGTGACTGGAACATCTCAGAGGTATGTTTAGTCTCTTTTTTGTCTGGCTTAGTTTCAGGCTTTACAAGACCACCTGGTGGCATCTGTTTCTGTGTCTCTAGAGAAGTATTGTCCTCATCGGCCATCTTATTGTCCTGACTTGTATGTCTTGGTGGCATTGAATAATTGTTGAGGTCTGACTTGACATTTTGTAGCCCTTCATTTGTATGTTTCATTGGCACATCTGATGGGTCCTGGTGTTTTTTCCTATTATTGTGATAGATGTTTTTGTCTCCTGTCACATCCTCTTTATGTTTCATAAAATCTTTTGGAGATGCTAGATTCTCCAAACTCTCTCCAGTATTTTTCATTCCTTGATTGTTGGTATCATGCTCTGATGAAGGTAACTGGGATGTTTGAAGACTATGAGCATCATTCTCCTTTGAAGAGTTATTATCACGGTCCACAGTATCACTTGGTGTGAATACTTGTTCCTGCTCCCATTTATGCAAGACATTTCTCTCTTCTTTCTTCTCTGTCTCCACGCTATCAATTTCATTCTTCATGTCATCATCTGAGGAGAAGAGCTTATCCCTTGTGTGTTCAGATATTTTATTTCTACTTTTTGCATCCTTCTTTTGGTCTGAGACCAATTCAGTTGATGAAGGAATCAGGTTCTCTTCTAGCATACCACATTCTTGCTTTTTGGTATCATCTGATATTGGTGTTTGGCTCTTCTCCAAGGGTAATAGGGGATTTCCTGCTAGTGTGGTTTTATTTTCATGTTTTCCTGGCTTTGTGGTTGAATGTGAAGGACAGTTTTCAAGTCTCTGACATGTATTTGTCTCTTTGTCAGTGGAGTTTTCATTTTCTGTTGCATCATCTGGGAAGAGTGCTTGGTTCTTAAAATCCTGCATGGTTTTCTTCTCCTGCATTGTGTCATTCCCACCACTTGTCAACTCAGCTGAAGGGGGGTGTGGATGCTTCTCGCAGCCGTGGCTGTCATGCTCATGTTCCACAGCACCACCTCCCTGTCCCTCCAGATCAAGAGGTGGAAGTGCAGGAGGATTTCTAAGAGTGCCACGGATACTTTGTCCTGCAATCCCACTCATCGATATTGGTGAAGGGGTTGCCAAGGGTGACTGCCATGCCTCAGAGTCAGGCCAGGGCATCTCATCTGCAGTGCCCTCTTCATGCTCAATGAAGGATTCAGATGGCTTGTGGCAGGTCTCCAGGTCAGTTAAGGAAATCCTTTGCAGGGCTCGATTGTTTGCATAGTTCATCCCTTCATTTGATGAAGACAATATGTCCTTCCCAAAATCTTCTTCTGAGATAAAGGAACTGTGCTTCACAACATCACCTGGCAAAGGGCTTTGTGTCTTTTCCAAAGGAAAAGAGGTGTCTTCTTCTGCTGCAGCCCCAGGCTTTGGCTCCAGGCTCTCATTTGAGGAGAGTGTAGGTTTGTTCTGATTTGTGTCTGGAACTTGCATGTCCCCACTGGAAACATTAAAATTATTTTGTGAGCGAAAATTCATTTGAGGAGCCTGAGGCTGCATGGTTTTTAATTCATTTTGCATTTGGCTGTTGGGTGTCTTATTTTCCTCCTCCTCTATATTTGGGACCTCACTATCATTTTTGCTGGAAGTAGAAGACATTTTGTCTTCACTGTGAAATGTTGCTTCTTTTTTGGCTTCCTTAAAACATTTGCCTTTTAAATCCAGTGCCTCTATTGGTGGCTTTGTGCCAGAAGCTGGTATTAGGACCGTTAGCTGTTGATCATCCATTGAGGGCTCAACTTCACAAGATGCTGAAAATTTTGGAGAGTAAAATGGCAGCATGTTGTCCAGTGCTTTCTGCTTTGGAAGACATTTTTGGCCTGCAAAGAAAGGATCTTTTTCTGGCTCTGTGAGCTCTGTGTCATCTTCATCTGAACCATATACATACAGAGATATTTCAGGAATCTCTCCTGGTGTAGTATCCTGAGGACTTTGTTCATGGGATCCTTCAGCTGTGCCAGAGTCAGGTGAGTCAGAAGGTGGGCTGTCTTCTTTCACATGTTGCAGAGCATTGGTAGTTCCCAATAGTGAAGATGTGTCAGGCCCAGCTGGCATGTTAGTCCTTTCACATTCAGGTGAGGGGGGAATGCAGTCTGCAAGAGCTTTGTTTTCATGAGTAGTTGAAGAGTTATTTAGAACAGGGTGAAAGTTGGGTTCCTGTTTTGTGGAATCTATTTTACCCTCAGCACAGTCTTTTGCATCTGACATGGCCTCTGGTGCCACTAGTAACTCTTCTTTGTCCTCCCTGACCTGTGCTGTATCTCCCAGGGTTTTGTTCTCTCTGTGGTCTCTGGTGGATCCCTCCTTTTCCCTCAGCAGTGTGCCATGACCAAAAGGCTGCTTTGTGGCATTATTTTTCGACCAGCTCCAAGGATGGTTAATTTTGGTAGCCATGCTGAATCTGGGCACTGGAACCATGGAGCACACTAAATTTTGGGACTCTGGACTCTTTATACCTGTGGCTGTCATCGCTGCCATGCGCAGCACTCTGACCTCAGGCTTATGAATAGCTTTTCTGCTGGGGAAGTTTTTAGTCTTTCTCTCACCTTTGCGCAAGAGCGATGCTTTCACCTCTGCAGCTGAGCAGAGAGTGCTTTGTTCAAACTTGTCCTTCAGTTTGGACAAGACTGAATTCTTGTTGACTATTTTTGGCAAACTACTGTTTGCTCCCTTCTTTTTCCAGCTGGGAGACTCCCCCTTGGCTTCTTTTTCTTCAGCAGCTAAAAATTTCTTCAGTATGTTCTTCACTGTGTTTTTCCCAGTCACACTAGTCCACCTTGCCCTATCGCTGGGTGCTGTGTCTGCATCCTCGTCCACTGCTTTTCCATCTCCCTTCCTGTCTCTGCTTCTGTCCAGCTTGTTACCAGCCCTGCTCACCCACATCTTCTCTTTAATGACCAGTTTGCCGACTTCTCTTCTCTTCTTGGTGTATGGCTCACGATTGGTGTTTAGAAACCTGGACCGCAAGAGCTGAAATCTGGTTGGATACTGAACGCTGACTGGATCTGGACATGGCTGGTTAGAGCTCACCTGGTTTTCTTTACCTTCTGCCCATTTTGTCCTCTTGTTGCTGATCTGCAGATCGCCGGCTGCGAGCTCAGTGACGTATTGCAGCAGGCTGCTGAGAACAACAAAGGCTCCTTGCTCTGTTGCCATCCTATTGAGCTTCTTCTTCAGCACCAGAGGGTCTATAAGCATCTTACTGTCTCCACAGAAGTGTGCGCTTTTGGTGCTGTGCAAGAGAAAACAGAAATGGCTTTTCAAGTTGTCAGCATTCTGTTACTACCTTCTTACTTCGCTTTAATGGCATGCTGCTATGCATGAAATGGAGAAAAAACACTTAAATGTAGAACTTCTCAAGAGAGTTGATGTTAGAGGCCTGTTAGAAAGCATGCAAAGTGCTCAACAAGCTTCATGAGTCATGGTGTAGCAGCAATGTCAGGACTTCACATCGTCCCACACAGCACTGTCAGCTCTTTCTTCTGTGTTTTGTGGGCAGTGGAAGCACTTAGGGAAGCAAGCAATGCTAGTTAGGGTCACTGCATCTCCTCTGTGCCACTAGTCCCTCATTTAGAATTACCATTTCCTAAAGTGAGGACAACACTGAAGGTATGTTCCTTTCCTGCGAGGTAAAGTGTAGGTAAAGATAAATATGATGAGATTGCAGTTAGCATGAAACCATGGTTCTGTCTGTGGTTTATAACCATTAAAACAAAATATCAAGGCTGAGGGGCCCAAATGTGCCACTGATGGTTTTTATTACTGGTATAGGTTAGAAGTCAGTAGATACCTCCCCAGAATTTAAAAAAAACAACGAGGGTTGCTGTTATTTGCTTTTTGATAGCATTCAAATCCCACATCAAGTCTATGCTCTTAAATCTGCTTTGTGAAGGCTATCACCACAACAACAACCCTGGCAATGTCCCTGCCCTACAACCGCTTTTAAACTGGAGGAAGAGGGATGGTATGTTGGACCTTTGCTTGTTTGAAGAATCAGGCCCTTGGACAGCTGGGGATTTAGGCAATGCTTTAATTGGTGTGGATCAGTTACTAAATAAAATACTGAACTCAGCACAAAAGCTGGAGCTTGAAGTCAATAACAATAGATAGGTCTAGGAGGGAAAAATCAAGAGGTGTCAGCTTTCTGACACCATGAAAATCTGGAAGGTTACTTCACTGTGCAGTGAAATAGCTTCATGCACAGAATGCAGCCTGCATACGCCCAGGGGATTAATTTTTATGACCAGAAGTGGAATAAAAAAATTCTTTAAATTAAGTCCACATGTAGGAAATTAAGAAAGGCTGCAAAGAGGGTCATGCATTAGGGAGTGTCAAGCTCAGAAAGTTGGGGAAGGCCCAGCTGTGCCCCAGCAACTGGCACAGCATGGTGTCTGAAGGAAACCGGACCCAGCCCCCCGCTGCAATATTATGGAGGCTGTTTGCAAAGTGAAGGGCTGGTCCTTGGCCAGTTGGGTTGTGATATTTGGATTCTACTTGGCTGCATTTCAAGTGCACATATTGAAAATTACATCCCTCAGCTGCATTTGCCATCTTGAATGGAAGAAAGTCTATTTATAATGACTTTGTAGGTATTTTTAAAGGCCAGTGAAAGAAAAAAGCCTGACAACTGGCCCATGTCTAATGTGACAAACAATACCTTGTAGGTTTTGATAGGGAATAAGCACATTTCAGCATAGCACAGGTGATATCATCCCTTTCCCTTACCAAATTGACCACAGCCAAAGAGGCTAAGCTTCTATGTTACACCAAGGACCCCATTCGTCCCAACCACGGGAATTTTCAGAATAAAGAAAGAACCAAAATTCAGAATATAATTGGCTAAAAATATCCAGGTTCATTCCCTCTCCTTGCAAGTCTGCTGATATTTTAACTGAAAGCTTACCATCCCTCTCCTCCCTAACTAGTGTCTGGTGTACTCAGAAAAACATGTGGGGCCATCGACCAATGTGCTTCAGGGTCATCTCTGATCTCTCAGAACAGCAGTGGAACCAGATGCCCTGCTTACCCTCCCTTCTGGACTGCTTTGGTTGCTATAAATGGCCACAGCAAAATACAGACTAGTCTTGCTTTCAGCATAGCCGAACTTGATTGTGAAGGAAAGGAGATCAGACCATCTCTGCTAGGAATATTCACAGTAATTAATCCCATATGAGCTATGAAATTCAAACAACTTCATTAAAATATACTACGAGTGAGCTCTATTCAAGGATTTCCTTTTCCATGTTAGAGTGTTATTATAGGATGCCATCTGAAATGTAGCATTTGTGGGAATACTGCATTGCCTTCAGTACCAAGACCTGTTGCATGGTTGAGTGTTTGATCCATATTCACCAGCCAGCAGTAGAAAATGAGCAAACAGCTATGGCACCTATTTAGGGCATCTGCAGTTCTTCCAAGAAGACGTCACCTGCAAATGACCATTGTGACCATGTAAATCTGAAATGCATTCTGTGCCAGGACAGTGGTACAATGACACTGAATTCTGAGACCACCAGAGAAAATTGAGGTAGTGGTGAGTCTGCTTTAACCTAGGGTTTGGGAAACACCATGGTTTTTCCCTCAAAGAAGGAGGCCTAAGTAAGAGACTTCTCATGTTTGGGAGCATGACCACCATTCTCAAAAGGTTAAATCATCCCTAATTTTTCCTTACTGTCTTTTCCCAAGTTGCATCCTGCTGCTCTTAAACTATGTCAGCTATCAATGAAATATAGTCACCTCTGTATCAACTACAGACAGTCAATTCTAATCCCATTGGGAGTATCCAGACAGGTAGTCCCTATGCACGGGGGAACCCCATGCCAGCAGAATTCACTTCCCATAGCACTGTGAGTTATGTCATATGACAAGGCAGATACTTGGGCTCCTCCCTGATCCTGCAAAATGGAGGATGTGCTTTATCTCCCTCACCCCTCTCTTCCCCTGGAGACACTGGTTTCCACTCTTTTTAATGACTGTGATGTGCCTCAGTGTGCTGCTGGTTATGGAAGCTGGTTTATGCTGCTGATGGTTTTCAGTGTCTGGGGGACAGACTGCTTGGACCTGTAGAGGAGGCAAGGCCACCTTCAAAAGTTTCCTGTCCTCTTGGCCTACAAATAATTAAGATGCATAAGACAGGCTGCTTAGTTACTTATTTATAGGTTCTTTGGGGACACTTATCACAGGCAGCATCAGAGTGGTAACAGCCTAATATGCTAATGGGCAGCAGTGCAACCCTATCCCGCTGTCCCAGAGAAGCCTCTGCAGTGGATACTCCTGTGTCACAGGCAGAGGAGAGCTGAGGTGCCAAGGCCAAGGGACAGGAGCTGGCACCCTCTCCCAGACCTGCACCAGCGCCCTCCAGCCTTTCTATTCAGTTAGGAGTCCAGATGCTGCTGAGTAGCAGGGCATGGTGGCATCCCATGGCATTTGCTAAAAGCATACAGTTGTAGGATTTTCTGGTTTAGTGTCACTGGCGTGGAAGAGAGAAGGCCCTGTCTCCTGATCCTGAATTTCATGTTAAATATCTGACTACCCTTTTAGACACTATGGCAGCCCAAAGGACTAGCTGTTGCAGGGACAGTGGCATGGGCAGAAGGAAACAGCACTATGGAGGCCTCATCAAAAAACAAGAAACAAATTGAAACCATTGTCCTGCAAAAGCTGTCAGAGATCAATGAGATTGGTCTGCCATACTGTTGGTAGGCTCTGGGGAAATGGCCATGAGCCAGAGTGTGCAAAGTGCTGCATCTCATGACCTCCCGCATCCCTGGGCATCCCCACCTGTCTCTGTGTGGTGTTTGATCCAACGACCTGCCCCTAGATAAAGAAGACAACCAGGAGCAGCTCTGCCCACTCAAAATGATGCACAGGCCTTTTGAGTGTGTTCAGTGAAATGATGGCCAAGGCACTGCTCACCCCAACAGCTGCAGAAATGGTGCTTTAGAGGTTCAGTCCTTTTTTTCAATGAGATTCTCTTACTGATCTCTGAAACACAACTTGGTCCTGCTCAGGTTGGATAGAAGGCAAAGTGGAAAAATTATAAATCCCCTTAACATTTATCAGTGATTATTTTTTTCCTAAAGGAAAAAGAAAAGCCAAAGTACTAGAAAAAGTCCTACCTTATGCAGAATATGTTCTTCTCTCTTCTCTATTGCTGAAATTATTACAGGACTAGGATGCGAGAGGCATCCTAAACTAGAAGCAATGTTTTCAGAAAGTCTTGGTATTCTCTGGCACCAAAAGCTACTGACACAATTGCTGCCTTTGGTTTAACACATCTCCAAAGCAAACAAGGAAGCACCTTGCGAAGCTGCCGAGAGAAAACATGCTACAACAACAGAGCCAGAGGTAAGGCGCGGTACGGAAACCTTCCCATACGGACACGGTCATGCAGGCTGCTATTCCCACTGACAGGCATCACCTGCTCCTGGGGCTGCCACACAACATCCCAGTGATGATTCCAGCAAGGGCTTACATGGAAAAAGGCGTAGGAAAGTACTCATGTATTTTTAGCTATCTTTTTAAAACACAGTTCAGCAGCTGGAGAAAGACAGGAGAAACCAACACCACGTAGGCAATCACGCATGGTGGAAATTAGAAAGTATTACATAGATCTCACTTTCTGAACTTCTAAAGTAAAACATGAGGTTAAATGTGGGAACAAATTTTGAGCTCACTTCTGCGTTATTTCATTGAGGATTCCATATTTGTGCCTGTGCTGCTCTTTGGGGGCGTTAGGATCTCCTTCATCAAGCCTACTGTTTGCTTTGTATATGGTATGCAACTTCTAACCCAATTGTAGTTTCCTGGTTTTCTTGAAAAATGAGAAAATAAAAGAAAAAGGAAAAATGAAAATAAGGGGGAAAAAATGGAAAGGCAAAGGGAAAGGAGAAGAAAAAAGGATGAAAAAGGACAAGAAAAAAATTTAAAAAGAAAAAAAGAAAAAACTTAGAAAAAAGAAAAAAATTTAAAAAGAAAAGAAGAAAAAAGAAAAAATAAGAAAAAAGAAAATGAAGAAAAAAAATGTTGAAAAATAACTTGGAGAGGAAAGGTGAGATGAAGCCAGGCAAGGAAAGGAAAAAAAGAACAAAAGATAATAAATGAAAGGGGGAAAAAGGTAAAGCAGTTGTGACTTTTCTTCTTGGGGTTTTCATGGTGCTCAGACTTGTGAAATGTATCACAGCCTAACTTTTGACCTA